TCTTTCAGGTATAAATGGTCTTTTCACTACTATTTAAAAGGTCATTTCTGTATGGATAGAACATATGAGTAGGGAAGAATACACTGTAAAGTTCTCAGTAAGTGACAAGTTAATAAGTTAAGGATACTGCTGGGCTAACCTGACTTGGAATCCTGAGATAAGAGTAGCTTTATTCTGTGACTCTAACTGGCTTCCATGTAACCACAGTTACAATTGCAAAAACCACTTCACTTTTCTTATGCGCCTTGTCAGCTCGGAGGGCAACTAAAAATATTAATTCCACAGATCAACGTTCATTAGCATTAAAAGAAATTCTCCCTATATGCCCCGCTTAAACACTGATGGAATAAATGCCAGCTGAAACATTTTACTTAAAAAATACAAGTACATCCTCTTCTTCTCTATTTTGCTTGCTTATTTAAAAAAAATTTATTGCCAGTTAAAGATACTTATACAGTTTCAAACAGCTCATAGTATTTTACCCTGTGAAAAATCATAATGGTTGTTTTCATATCCCCAAATGCAGTAAGTATAATTTCAAACAAAATCACTTGCATAATTACTGAGCTATGGCAACCGTTCATCTGTGTGCTAACAGGAAGAAAAGGTAACACCCCCCATCCTCAGGGCTAATTAGCTAATGTAAGCATTGGCTTAGGACCCAGTGTCCAGATGTGAAAGCTCTCTCCTGACTCACTGCAATCTATCAAATGCTTCTATCTGATAATCCTCCCATGGAGAAGGCACGATAATTACTTAACAGTTAGAGACCCTTCGTGAAGATCGGAACCTTGAGAATCAGCCTTTCCTTAATTGACTGATCTGAAATCTCATAATGTGTGCAGTGCTCAGACCAGGGGCATTTTATTGCATTTGATAGATGGTTGAATTTAGAACATGTGGCTGAGATGATCAATATGAGGGCTGCTTTAAAAGCTCAGAGTGCATCAGGAATACCCAAACTGTACTGCTCACCTCTGACTCACAATGTATTATGGCAGTAGCACAGAGGGGAAGATGAACTTGAAAAATTGCCCTTGGGGTTTGGAACCTACGGATAGCTAAGTAAATACTCCTGTATTCTGTTTCATGTAGCATGAAATAGCATTATGCTTCATGTTATCCATTTCCCCCTACATTTTAGACAGCTAAAGCCATCTTTAGAGGATAGTCATAAAATCTCCACTTCAAAAAAGGTTTCTCAGCTCTTCTTTAGTTGGGCAATCAGTCATTAAAAGCCAATAGAGACACTATTTAAAGGAGGGGATGATGACAGACGCAGGATTCCTAAACATTGCCAACCTGGAAAATGGATGGGTTTTCATAGAAGAAATGAGGGACACCAGGCAGGAAACTGCTTGTGACTCAAAGAGACCAGTTCTGCCCTTTACACCCGCAAGGGTGTGGAGAGCTGAGAAAATCCGACTGGGCTGAGTGCAACAGTGAGCATGGCGCTGTCCGTGGTAGCCACCAGCACATCTGACGATTGAGAGCTTGAAATGATGCTGGTCTGAGCCGTGAGCGCAAAATGCACACTGGATTTCCAAGACAGAGTATGAATAAAAAAGGGGGAAAAAAGGTATCTCCTTAGAGTCTTTTTGATTGTACATTAAAAATACTTGGAATGTTTAGGGTTAAATAATATTCTTAAAATTAACTGCACCTGCTTCTTTTCCAATCTGGCTACTAGATACTTAAAAAATATATATATTTATTTTTAATTGGAGGATAATTGCTTTACAATATTGCATTGGTTTCTGTCATACATCAACAGGAATCAGCCATAGGTATATATATTTTCTCTCCCTCTTGAACCTCCATCCCACCCCTCTAGGTTGTCACAAATCAACAGATTTGAGATCCCTAAAATTAGATCAGTGGCTTGCATTTTATTTCTAGCTGACAGCCCTGCTCTAGAGGTTCCTTGAAGTGGTCCTCTATAGGGTCAGCCTAAGATGCACTGAAGCACTTGGCCATCCATCTGTATGTGTACCTGATTAGGTCATGGTACTTGGTGACTACTTGATAAATAGAAGACTGTCATCCAGACTAGAGGGAGGGATGTTCCTGCTGGCTTTGCAGAAGGAAGTTGACATTCTGGGAGAAGGTTGTGTGGCCAGGAGGTGAGGACAGGGCAGAGAAAGGGAGCTGAGTGTGGAGGACAGGTTCCCTGCCTAACCACAAGACTCACAGATGAGCCCTTTCTAGTCCAGAAAGCAGGATATGCACAGACACACACCTCTTCTCATCCATATTGCTTACAAATATAATCCTACACTGGTACAAAAATACCAAGGGACATGAGAGAGGGATGATTGATTCCTTAATTTATCTACACACTCCACTCATGAAAAGCTGCAGATGATACAGGGTAGAAAAAAAAATTTCATATTTTGAGTGATTGACTCCATCTTTCCTTCTTATAGAAATACACCCTGATGGCAAAGATTCTCTTAATAGCTATGCTCCTTTTCTTTCATAGAAGTATAATTGTTTGCTATATACATAACCACCCAGAATATATATATAATGTTTCTAAGTCTCACAACAAGGTGAGACTATCTGGCTGGATTTTGGCCAATTGGACTGAGAAGGAATGCGTGTGATAGTTTTTGAAGACTCCCTCCTAAACTCCTCCATCCTGTCGCCTGGAGTTTGGATGCCACCTTGGACCATGAGGATGGAGGTCTGACCAGAGGAAGGACAGAGTGAGACTTGAGGACATTTCCATCTCTGAAACAGACCTGCCCATCCTTGTCCTATACTGCCTATATCTTAATTCTATATGGAAGAAAAATTCACCTCCATTTGTTTTAAGTTTCTCTTGAAGTATATTTTTCTTTTAAGTCACCTAATTGTTATCATCTTATCCTAAACAGTTTATATCAAATTCCTCTATTTAGGAGATTTCAGGACTTTTGATTTAAGATTTATTTAATGTCTTACTACTCTAAGTGCTCTAAAATACAGATTTCTTTAAAACTGTGTCTTTAAAGATATTTTTATTGTTCCCCAGACACAGTCTGCTCCAGTATATAGATTTAAAATACATATCCTATAAGAAAACACTTTCTTAAAAATTATTTCCAACTGCTATAGCTCATTATTGCAGAGAGTTACAAGTAACAAGAGGAAATAAACTAAAAATTAGTCCATGAAAAAGAAGGTACATCTAATTGAAGCAAAACAGCTGAGTCATCAACTGGGAGTCGGGGTGGAGGGGAAGAGATGGATAAACCTGAGTGTGAATGAGAGAAGTGGGTGCTGGAGAGAGGGGAGACGCTGTCCACGGGAAACCAGAGCAGGAGTCACACAACAGACAAACAGCCTGTGGAAGAAGATCTCTTCTCAAATAGGATAAAGTCGACTGTGAGAGTCTGCGGGGATGGAGGAACGGTCCTGCCCTTAGCCTGGCTGGAGCAGCCGTTGGCTGAGACAAGCGCCTCTGAGTGTTTGGTACCAGGTCGGGACAGTTAGGGGCCAACATGCTGAGAAAGTGTTTGGAGTCTAGATGAGATTTGGCCCAAAGAGGGTACAAGGAAAACTTCTGAATTAATAAATAAGGTAAGAATCAAATAATATCCCACTCAATAGTCCCTTTATGTTACTTATAATATCAATTTGAAACAGATGCACATTTACTAGCTTTGTCTAGCGTGGGCTTTTAAAATAATGCCGTATGTTCCTGATGTAGAAAAGCAAGAAAAACAAAAAATGAAAGCACATTTTCCCCCCTAGGGGGAAGGCTAATACCTGAGGCTTGGTGCTCATTTGTCACTGGGAGAATGAGCATTATTGCTGTGTGGTGGGAACACGGGTTTTGCTAGAGTTCCTTTGGAAGCCTAATGATGTCGCATCAGTAAATATTAGTGCACAGGTAGTCGTGACAACAGGGGAGGGCACAGCCACACACTCCTCCTGACGAGAGCGGGTGCTCCTCCAGGAAGGGAAGCATTTCACGGGGAAGGGTCACCTGCAGGCGGACCACACACCCACTCTGCCCTCGGGGTGCCAGATGCTACAGACGTGCGCTGCTCCATGTGAAAAGGTGAGGGCACCCTATAGTAGACCAGGCAATCTAGTATTTTAGCTTTGATGAAACTAGCCAGGTATTTCACAACTGCCTCATTTCACAGGATGTAACTGACATGGTTCATTTTTACAACCAAAACATTTTAAATAAAAATTTATAAATCCATTCATCTGAAAAAGACTACAACAAGGGGAAATATATTGTTATATATGAAACTTCCCCTTTTATTCCTTGTTCAACTTAGTACTTTTTTTCTTCTTCCTTTAAAACTACCACCTTGTATAAATTATTTGATGGCCACAATGCAAACAAAACAAAAGGAAAGCTAGCTTTTCTTTTAATTTTATTAATTCTTCCTTAGTAGAATATCCAAAACAGTTTTTTGCTGGTTTCACTATGGCTTCTATAATTCTGGTAGGATTTTTCACATATTTCATAGATGCAACAAATATTTGACCTCACTGAAGAAGATGATAATGCAACATTTTGTTCTATGTCCAAGATTAGTTTAATAATAAAATGATGGCTTCAGATCATGCTAACAAACTCCCTAACACTGATACTACAAAAATTCAAAAAATTAACTTCACTGCTATTGCAAAGTGAAACATTTTTAGATTTACAGGGACTTGCATTCTATTTTCCAAAGCATCTAGTTATATAACATATTTTCGTACATGTGCAAGCTGTGTGTATAGATAGATGGATACCAAGTTATATAGAATGTGTTTGAATGATTAGGTTTGCTCATGTATTTCCTAAAATTTAAAAAACACAAATATCCTTGGAAATGTTTGTCTCCTAAAAAATTTCCAAAAAAAAATATTTCTTGTTAACCAACATCACCATGAAAGCATAAATCATCACCAAGTTTTGCTGTCTATACACTGGGCTTTGCATTTGGATCTTCTTGTGTATTCAGCTATAAGGAAAGAGAATCTGGGCAGACGTGACCACCCCGACTCACCTCTGCAGATCGGCCGGTGGTCACTCCACGCAGCCAGGGTCTCGGTGACTCTCTGACACGTTATGCTCTTGGATCCCTGGAGCACGTAATTGTCCTCACAGGAGAACTGTACATTTGCACCAACCCTGAGAAATTACAAAACCAAAAACAACCCGGATTACTCATGGAAGATGTCTTTAAAAAAACCATCACAGTGCTGCTACCATGTAATGCCATCAAAATAATATAACAACATTAAGTGGCCCATTAGTAATTATCCACAGATAAACCCTTCAATGCAGCACAAGACTTGGGTTCAAATTCCCATTTTGCCAACTTCTCTTAAATAAATACATAATCCTTAAGGTATCTTCTCTAAAATTAACAATAACAGACATGGCAGAACCAGGTGTTGAAGCTAAGTAAGAAATGCATCTGAAAGAAGGAAACCCTGGAATCAAAACAAAGCTGGATGTCCTTCAACGTGGATAAACATCCTACCAGAGAAAAAAAAAAAAGACTGAAACAGCCCAGGTTAAGAAATGGCTCAGTATACAAAAAGACAATGGCTCTAGCATTCCATTTATATGAGGTGTCAAATATAGTAAAATTTATAAAATCAAAAACTGGAAGGGTGATGACCAGAGGCTAGTGGGGTCGAGGGAAAATGGGAAGTTATTAATTCAAAGGCATAAAGATTAAGTTAAGTAAGATAAATAATTTCTAGAGATCTGCTATTCATCATTGTAGCTTAGTCAACAGTAGTGTACGCTTAAAATTTTTTTAAAGATACTTTTCAAGTTAAGTATTCTTATCATCCTCATAGAACTTGCTTCCAATGAAAGAAAAGGGGAAAAAAATTCTCAGTAAAGAATTAGTTGGGGCTTCCCTAGGGGCTCAGCAGTAAAGAATCTGCCTGTAACGCAGGAACTTCAGGAGACGCAGGTTCGGTCTCTAGGTTGGGAAAATCCCCTGGAGGAAGGCATGACAACCCACTCCAGCATTCTTGCCTGGAGAATTCCAAGGACAGAGGAGTCTGGTGGGCTACAGTCCATGGGGTCGCACAGAGATGGACACAACTGAAGTGAATGAGCACACATGCATGCAAAGAATTTGTTACCACTGTAATATATTAATTATATTCAGAAGGCTGGTGCTATTATATTTCAGAAATGCATCTTACAGGAAAAGATACTTTGCTTTAGAAAAAAGCGACCCATCCGGCCTAGAGTCAGATGAAAAACTGCTTTGGCTCCAGAGCTGCCACAGGAAGCATGAAGCCTTAAGGCTGCGAGCAGTAACGGAATGTGATCGCAGCATCACAACTCAACAGGTGCATGAGGAAATGCAAGAGGCATGCCCCAGGTCTGAGCACATCCGGTCCCTTCTTCTAAGTCTGCTTTCTGGCACTGAACTGAGTGCAGTGTTGCTTTATAATCCTACAAGCCTGTTGTTACAAGAGGAAACTCTGCCTGTATCCTCCATTTGACGTTGACAAAATGGGAATGAAAGACGGTCTTTTAGAGAAAATGTGAATAGTTGCCCATGTAATATGTAAAGTTATTAATAGGTAAAAGATAATAAAAAAATTAAACAAATTCTGTCTTTTCTTGCTTATGGAAAAAAATTCCTGTCTGCAACATTATAGTGGACATTATTCCAGTAACATAAGAGCATCTCTCACACTTTAACATCGTGGGATCATCACAAATGTCTATAAAAATCATCAAATCAGGGTCAAATCAATGTGAAAAGTTCTGGATTAAACACAATTCAGCATCTTTCTTGTCCAAAGAGGACTCTCAGCTTACTAAAATTTAATATGCAAAATGTGCTTCGCCTACTTAAGAAAATTTAAAATATGTAGAATTTTCCAAATTTATCTGATTAGGAAGCCCTTTCACACAAAGTATCCAGGGCAACTAGAATTCTATGGAAGTAATTTTGAGAAATGCTGCATAATAAGGACATAATATGTATTATCTTTTTAAAGTAAAAAGTGGAAAAACAAAATGGAGACATAATTCTAATTTTCAGTGTCTGGGTACAGCAGTTATTTAAAATAGCTATACTTTTTAGACACATCCCTTCATAATTTCATTTGGTCATTGTTTAGACTTCTGGAAACAGACTGAATTTTAAAAAAAATCTAAATTTTTGGTTTGAAAACAACTGTTCTCTCTCTCTGTTCTCTATGCCAGGTCCCAGTGTTCAGTTCTCCTTATTTACCTAAATTTCAGTTCTCATACTTTTCATCATTCTTTCAATACATTTTTATTGAATAGCTATGTGCCACACTACTCCAGGTACCAAAGATACAGAAATTGTGATTGACAAAGTCTCATGGGGTTAGCAATCTAGTTAAAGGAGGACAAAAATAAATAAATGAAATAAGAAGAAAATGAAACTATCATAAGTACTGTGAGCAAAATAAACCAAGCAGTGTGATTAATAATAGGTTAGGGAGCGCTGGGATTTAAGAATGTGTCAATATTTTTTTGATCCTCTCAAACTGGTGTGCTAGTGTCTCACATGATATTTTTGGCATGATCAAACATAAAGGAAGGAAAATAATATTATTGTTTCCCCCAGCATCCACTTACTTCAGTTCCAAAGCCTGTCATTCATAGTTCTAATGGGTGCACTCCACCCCAACAAAGTATCTATCTTTTTCATACATCTGATCAACTTCCTTTAGGTATTCCTGGTGAATCCTGTTAATGTTGACTGGTAGATCTCACTTCTGGCAATATAATACAGATATATTATCCAAAGTAGGAGAAAATGTGGCCAGAGTTGCTTATTAGAAGTCATGATAGTGTCCATTAATAGAAATATGATTGACTATATTATTCCATATGTATTTTAAAGAAGGCAATGTTTCTACAAAATGAGCAAAATATATAGCAATACAGGGAAGAAAAAGATTTTCTACAAAATTGTTACCCCAGGTAACTCTTAGCTTTGAGTATCTGAATCTGTGTATCAGGAAAAATCAGTATAAAGCTATTTTTAGAGTGCTAATAGAATCACAAGTACACTTTTGTTTCTATATTACAATAATTGTACTACTTCTGATTTTATTACAAGTTAAATTTTAAAATGTTTTAAGATCCTACTACTAGATTGCCCCTTTGTTCTCACTCACTGAGACAGAACTCTCACACCTAACAGAGTTCATACCTTCCTCCGATTTTCATCAGACAAAAATTAAAGAAGCTCTTCTATCCAAGGTAAGGATTCTTCCTAAAAATCACCATAAGGTACCACAGAAGATCTAGTCCAGAAATCTCTATCTGGGTTCTGGGGAAATCTCTTCAAAGTATGTACAGAATCCATTCCTTAATTTCTAGCCTGAAACCTTTTGACAAATGATTGAAAATAACAACTGATAAAATAGAGAGGCTTCTCTACTTTCAAACAATAAAAATCACTAATAAGCAACCTCTGTTCTTGACTGTGTAATGAAAAACAGAGCCATTGATGGGTAAACTATGCATTGTGATGAATAAGGCTGAGCTTGAAACTGATAATGACCCAACTTCTAATTTATTATTTCAACCTCTTGCTTTGGTTTTATCTAGAGCATAAATTAGTCCGATTTAAAATCCATGCACACTTTCCACTTCAAATGCATAATAAATTAAGCTTTTATTTATGATTAGATTTTATGATTACTATGTTTGAAGGCATACATATAACATTAGGAAAACTAATTTGGTTTTCTAGAAAGTACTCAGGAGAAAATAACAGAAAAAATTATTAGTACCTTCCCACTGGCAAATGAATTCAGAACACCTTAGATTAAGCTTGTCAAACAATTTTGACAATTGTTAATAGTTTGAAATTGTCACAAATAATTTAGAACACTGATTTTGTGTAATCTCAAGATAAATAGTGATTGATAATAAATATCCAAATGGCAACTCTTAAGTTAAATAGTTGAAGCAGAATGATTTTGTATTTTAAACAGAAGAGAAGAAGCGAGAAAATAATAATTTTTACCTGCATTGGTTCACAACTGGCTATGGTCTGACTTTTAGCACGAGGTGGCCTGCTAGTCATAAGCATGCATTGCTGAGCTAATGGGGGCAAGGGATACTTCATCAAACAACTATTGGACAATGAGGTAAATAAATATAAATTATTATGGGGAAAAATGATTTTACCTTTAGTGAAAAGGTAAGAAATTGAAAAGGGCAGACATTGAAATTTGTGTTGGGTACTAAGAGATCCATATGATTAATTTGTTGTTGTCGTTGGTCAGTCGCTAAGTCGTGTCTGACTCTTGCGACCCCATGAACTCCAGCACTCCAGGCTTCCCTGTCCTTCACTAACTCCTGGAGCTTGCTCAGATTCATGTCCACTGAGCCAGTGATGCCATCCGACCCTCTTAACCTCTACTGTCCCCTTCTCCTCCTGCCCTCAATCTGCCCCGGCATCAGGGTCTTTTCCAATGTGTTGGCTCTTTGCATCAGGTGGACAAAGCACTGGAGCTAGAGCTTCAGCATCAGTCCTTCCAGTGAATATTCAGGGTTGATTTCCTTTAGGATTGACTGGTTTGATCTTCTCACTTTCCTCAAATTGAGTATCTGTGTACTAGAGTGAAACCCACCATAGAAAGCCCTGTTGGTTTCAGAGTTGGTGATTTGTTCAGGGAACGGCAAGTAGCCAGGTTTGTCCTGAAGACTGCTGCTTCAAAGAGGTGCCCATTCCTTCCTGCTCCAGGGGTTCCCCCACAGACTATGGGATTCTGGGTGCTCTCCTGATCTACCCCTCCTCCTTTCCCTCTCTTTGAGGTAAGCTTAGCTCTTTCATTGCTCCACACAATAATTCATTGGAGAAATATTAACCTGAAGCTGGGAAAAGCTGGGAAAAGAAGCCCCACAGAGAGGCAGCTCCCAGGAGAAGGCTCCCCAAGGGAAAGCCTCACATTTCATTCACCCTGAAATCCCTCACCACCCTCAGCAGAGCTTGTTGCACTTACAGTATCTCTGAGACAGATACTTGCAGATGACTACACAAACAGGAGACAAAAGGACAAACAACAGGAGACAAAGACATGAATTCAGCCACCTTGCACCTCGCACTAAATGTGCACCGAGCCACCACAGTGCAAGACTCTAGGAGTAAACTACAAGGGTGG